CCGCAGGTGGGGTAAATAGTAACATTTTTACTCCTGGCACTTTTGGCAATACTGCACAGAAACCTTAGGTCCGTCAATCATCCAGTACTCATTTGTAGGAGAGGCGTGTGTTGTGTTGGTAACAATAAGGTTTGTCTAACCCTGTCACATTATTCATTATTTGGCCAAAAAGTGTTACTTTGTGCCCCGCTGTCTCCTAGACTATAGCTTTACAATTAGCATCAGATGGAGTAGAAAGTATACTGGATGACAAAGGGCCCCATATAAAGAAGAATCCACCAAAAGCATTTTTGTTTTGACTCCTGGAAGCCCCAGGAAGCTCAAACTCCATTCCCCATTGACTCAACCGCGTCAATATCTTTCAAAATTCCTCACATCCTAATGATCACAATAGCCTGAACCGTTCCCATTGATCTACAGGCACATTCCTGGATCAGGGAGTGGCCTGGAATGCCAATGATTTATTTGTTCAGTGACGTCATCTACCTGGCCCAGGACACGTGTAAAACAAGGGGTGGCTATTCAGGTGCAAAAACTGCTGACCGGAGATCATCCGTGAACCCGCACGGCTGGGACTTGACTGCGCGCCGCCGCTGATCCGGGATCAGTTACGCCTCATTGTCAGCCTTTAAACCGTTGGGGACAGGGTGGGGTAATCCGGAAGTGAGCCGAAAAAAAAAGAGTTTAGGCAACTGAACAAATTGGGTGAAGAGAAAGCAAGGGGAGGGGAAGAAAGAAAGACTTCATGACATTAAAACTCATTCATTAATTCAAACGAGAAACCGTACGACGGCTTCAACATCAAAACCCTCGCCGCGTATTAACTCGAGCTGAATTCAAGTAAAAAAAAAACATACAGCTGGAGATAACACGTTTAGTTCGTGTTATTTTATTTAGAGAACACTATTAGCTATTTGTAGTACTCTAAAGAGGACTGCAGAACGCATCGCAGTAGTGGTGAAAAGCCGTGCGTGCGCGTGAAACATCTGATCCTCACGTTACTTCCACTCGCTCTGCGTTTGACTTGTTGGCGGGGCGTTGGTGCCTTGGACTTTTTTTTCCTCCTTCTCTTCTTCGCGGCTCGGTCCACTACGCTGCTCGAGAGGAATCTGCTTTATTCGACCACACTACTCCTAAAGTAACACATTAAAATGGCCGGATCAAACAGCATCGATGCAGTTAAGAGAAAAATCAAAGTTTTACAACAGCAAGCAGATGAGGCAGAAGAAAGAGCCGAGATTTTGCAGAGACAGGTCGAGGAGGAGAAGCGTGCCAGGGAGCAGGTAAGTGTATCATTGTAGCAATGGCGATGGCTTTTATTACATGTTAAATTGTCTCGTTTCTTAGTCGATTCGCTACTTTGTATGGTATGCGTTTGTGTGGAGGTTGTGCGCTTTTACATTCACACCCAGCTCAACGCCCTACAGGATGAATTATGTGTCTATATGTCTGTAAAGCTTCTTTCAATAACGTTACCTAAAATAACACCTAGTATGTTCTTAACTGTATGTGTGAAAAGGATATTCTCATTTCAACCGCAAAGATGGGCCGGATAGGAGGTTATTGCAAAACCTTCAAGCTAACGCGCACATTGGCTCATCTTCACTGAAGATTCTCAGCTGTACTCGCGTTTATAGTACATAAGACGAAAGCTGAACCTCCAGCGAGAAGTGATGGCGGATATACACACAAAAACATGCGATGACATGACACTTTGAGCGCTTAGATGTGCTAACCTCAGATGGGTTTTAGCTCATCCTCTTAGTCTCACATTGTTTGCTGGATTTTTGCGGGTGAGGCCTAAAGGAAGTAGCTAAATAGTTTCCGCTGAATCACTCATATTTGGCTATTTCATATTAGTATCACAAATTTGTATAAATCTACGTGTAAATGCTGCTCTTCTCGTCATTTATGCCTCATCATTCGCGCACAACATCTGGGTCATCAGGTGTTCGTCTCGGCACTTTGAGTTGTTCGCGAATGCCACTTGGGCTTTTAGCAGCCTATTTTAGCCTTTGGCAACTTTTGTGAGTTTTTAATTGAATTAGACACTCTATTTGATATGATTTTTTTTCTTTAGGTCTCTTATCACTTAACCATGCCTTCCGTCTCTTTGGCATTACGTGAGTTGAACTCACCCCGCAGACTTTAGATTCCTCAGTCCTTATTAGGAGCGAAACTCCAGTGTTTGTTAGCGGTGTCGTCATATCCGGAAGCCGTGCATGAGCGCTGTTTCTCAGCTGAGCTGACGAGGCGAGGGCCGCGCCGCTGTTAACTTGCTGTTTCACTTCGGGAACACTTTGAGAAACTTTTCAGTGGCCTCCGACAATTGATGTCACTCTAAACAATGTACATTACCAAAAAATCTTTTGTAAAATAATAATAATTGGCTGTAACTTTTCATTAATCTGACTGAAATGCCCCTCCTTATTCAGCAATGTAATGAATGAAAGACAGGATCTCCAAGTACCTCAGGGAAGTTATAGTAACCTAGTTATTTCAGGTTTTGCATCTGATCAAATGAATGAAACTAATCAAATTGTGATTGCTCTTATCTTTTTTACAAATTGTGAAACATTCTTAAAACTGAACTGTTTGAAGAAGCTTGGCTACTTATTAACTAGATATGCCTTAGAGACCCAAAGGGCCTGAGTACACTGGAACTGAAGAGCCTGTTCCCATGATATTTATGATTGTTGCTTTGTTGCTAGGGTGTTGCGAAAACTGCTTATCTGAAGCAAAATAGTCTACAACCGAGCCATGTTTACACAACACCATTTTTAAATAGATATCGAGAACTGTGTTTTGAGTAGTCATTTGCACTACAGTGGCACTTGGGTGTGTGGGGGGGGTGAAAAAACTAACCATTTTTTTTAAACCAATACCGTTATCTTTATGTAAAAGTAAAAATGCAAATTACAACCAAAACACAAATCACTGGCTTCTACAGGATTGCAGAGTAGTGTGTGTGTGAGTGCAGGTGTGTAGTGGTTCTTATTTTATGTTAAATGACATCATAAACTACTGACATGTGAAGTAGGGCTGCACAATATTGTTTGAGCGTTGATATCGCAATGTGTGTATCCACAATACTCACATTTCTGGATTAGTTTATTTATTAAAGACTAAAATATAAACATTATTATTTTAAAATAATTTAAAGAATGATGGCCATGTTATTGTATGTTTGATCGTTCATTTTTTTGTACCTGAATACTGTTGGATCTCTAGAAAACTATAAAGCACTGTTTATTTAACTTTTAACTTTGCTCTGTTGTTTATGTGCTTGTTATTTTTTTTTATCATTCATGCAAACACAGTGCATAAAAAGACTTGATTATCCCAATCTATATAATTTAATAAAAACTTTCCAAATAGAGCTATTCAATTCATCTGGTGAAATTATATTCACATTGCAATAAATATTGCAGAAAAACAAAATATTGCAATCTAATATTTTTCAATATTGTGCAGTCTTAAAATGAAGCATAAAACAAAGTGAATGGGGAAAAAATAGTTGATTCTATACAAAACCTCAGAAATGATATCTGTGGTTGTGTATAGTAGGCATGGGCCGGTATAAGATTCTGACAGTATGATAACCTTAACCCGGTTTGAATTGTTACCCGGAATACCTTAAAAACCGTTATCGTCTCATGCCTAGTATAAAGGCATATGATGATAACCAGTTTCAAGGTTTACCACCGTTTGGGAAAAGTCAAGGTTTTAAAAATACTAGCATTTTTTTGTTATACCATTCCTAAGATATATAGTGCTCAGCATATTTGAGAACACCATTTTATCCATTTCTCTGTGAATATAGGCAATGTATTTTGGTGCATTTAAGCAAAACAGGTTTATTAAACAGATATATTTATTAAAATAATATTTTAGTCACCAAACATATTTAGAAATTGAAATATAGTATTATCAAATTCAAGCAAAATATTGCAAAAAAAATTACAGCCTGCAACAAAATTTTTAAAAAATTTTTTGCTTCTCTTGACTTTTTTTCCCCTTTTTTTTTAATAATTTGTATTTATATTTCTATAGCATATACATTTGAGTGTACTAGTTTTTGGATGGTTATCGCAATTTATTTTATATTTATTTTAATTTTATCCAGATTTGGCTTCAGTACTGACTAATGTACATATACAAATATAAAATTGTATAGCTTCCTTTTACAAATATGAATTTAAAAGGTAGATTTGTCAGGGGTGTACTTGCATATGCTGTTTGTTTGGTGTTTTTTATGTCTTGTAAAGAAATCTGTGTTTCTGAAACAAATGAAGAGAGCAGAAGTCAATGATTTGACAACAGTTTTTTTTTTTTTTTACCAACAAATAAAAGCAACCAAATTTAGAGCAGTAATCATAGTACCATGGTATTTTTATCCAAGGCGATACCATCATAATCTTAAATCAGCCCATGCCTAGTAGTGTAAATGTACACCTAAAACCAATAATATTTAGATCCAAAGATTTCAGTTCCCTTTATATCTGTGTTTTTTTCTCATGGGTTTTCAAGCTGATGAAGTCATTGCATACCATTTCATGCCATATTAAGTTATTTCATGTCTGTTGCTTAAAAAGGTGTGACGGTTTATCCAGAAATGCAGTCTGAAAGAAGGATTTGAGAAATCATTACCCTTAGTCAGAGCAATTTTAATAGTGCTGCCTTGCCAAAATGGTTTTAGTCATTGTGTACACTTAATCATCACATAATAATTATCTTTCACAAACATGGTGGTGCCACTGAGCAGAAGCTCCCAAATGATTCCTTCACATGAGGGTTTTCCATTGTCTCATTGGTTCCAGTTTCCAATTTCAACACCAAGCCATCTTAGCTCTTCCAGATGATCCTTTTCTTTTTTTTTTCCCCTAATTCTCCTGTTTCTTATCTAAAATCACATTACGCTGCCTGAGTGGCCCTTGAAGTTCATTGGAAATGTGTCTCTGTTCTGATCTCGTGTTGTTTTTGTCATGTTTGTCTTGTAGGCTGAGGCAGAGGTGGCTTCTCTGAACAGGCGTATCCAGCTGGTTGAGGAGGAGTTGGATCGTGCTCAGGAGAGACTGGCCACAGCCCTGCAAAAGCTGGAGGAAGCCGAGAAGGCCGCAGATGAGAGCGAGAGGTTTGTGCTTCACCGACTTCACATTCAGAGTGATGTTATTTCTACATTAACCCCCAGCCTAACTTGCCCTACTTCCTTTTAATTTGCGCTCTCTCTGGAATAGAGGGATGAAGGTGATTGAGAACAGGGCTCTGAAGGATGAGGAGAAGATGGAGCTGCAGGAGATCCAGCTTAAGGAGGCCAAGCACATTGCTGAGGAGGCTGACCGCAAATATGAAGAGGTATTTTATTGAGTGGTATTTCAAAACTATATAATGTGTGTGTGTGTGTATGTATGTGTGTATATATGTATACATGTATATATTAGTGCTGTCAATCGATTAAAAAAAATTAACTAATCGCACCTTTTTAAAAAAATTAATCGCGAATAATCGCATTTAAAATACTGAAACTTGTAATTTTGCCTATTTAAATGTAAAATTTATGTAAACCCAAGAAAAAAATATTTAAATTCGAAATATTATTGTTTAATAGAATTTTTGTTTAACTTGTAACACAGATTTCTTCATGTAAACAACATACCCACAATAAAGCATCAAGATCCTGGCTTGACAGCCATATTTATTACAGAAATTAAAACACAGGCATGTTAATGACATTTTAATTTCAAAACAATCAATGCCAATAAAGAAAACATTGATTTCCATGTTGGATTCTAAGTGGACTGCAAAAAAATGCCAAAAAACAGGAATTGCAGATATGGAAAATGAAAAATTATAATGATAAACTATAGAATACAAACTGTTGCACTCATTGTAAAGTTTTATTGCTGTGAGTTGAGAACATTAATTATAGAGTAGAAACAATTTTGCTTAATCCTCCATTACATTCAAGACTAGGAGTATCCCGCAAGTGCACAGAGACTCCCAAATGCCCGCAAATGAATGATAATTTCTTGCAAACCGGTCGTTAAATACATTGCACACCCCTCTCGCCCCTACTCGGATGCGTCGCTCACTCCACCCCTGACACAGACGCACGCACGCACAGACAGACACACACAACGCGCTGCAGACGTTTTGGCCCCAACAGCCTTCCTTACTGGAGCGACTCCCCTCAGATTCAACACGTATGATCACGTTCATCAAATTTGCTAAGCGTCCTAAACTTAGCGTCCTAAAGTATTACTGTATTTCACAAGGATTCTGACACAACAATGCGAAGCATACGCTTTCGTTGCGTTTAATGAGGAAACACGCTAAACTTGGAGGGCTCATGCTGAAAGGCAGAGTAATGCCCTGTCTTTGACAGCTCGCGACTTCACCAGACATTCTGAATACATTTACATAAGACACCAATACTCCGATTTTAATATGATTAAGATAATACTCTTATTAAAATTCTACTGTGTAGCCTTAAAAGGAACCTTACCTTAAAGGAACACCGAGTCACGAAATGCGGAGGATTTTCTCTCTGTTCGCCATGCGGTATCAACTTACAACTGATGTCGAAAGTTAAAAAAGAAACACACGAAATTGCATGAAACTCTGGATAACTTGTGATACAACTAATTGTTTTATACTGGAACTTTCCTTCAAAAAGTGCTTCCTTGGTCTTATCCACATTTATTGCATGTTGAACACACGTCCACCACAGCAGGAAGTAAAAAAAGCCTGAACTGCGTTAATTGCGTTAATTTTCTTATCGCGTTAATTATTTAAAATGAATCGCATGTGTTAACGCGTTAATTTTGACAGCGCTAATATATATATATATATATATATATATATATATATATCAAAGTTTGGTTGATGGACAATAGCATCGTCTATCACCGATCACCAGCTGCACCTTTAACTATTAAGGGATTTATTTGTTATATTGTTTGTTTTAATGAGCATTCAATTTAACTAAAACCTGAAAAGACAATCCCATAAGCAGGCAGTTTTGATGTGTGTTACAGGTGGCTCGTAAGCTGGTGATCGTTGAGGGAGAGTTGGAGCGTACAGAGGAGAGAGCAGAGCTTGCAGAGAGGTTAATCTCAGATTCACAATCAAAATATACATGCACATAATCCTCAGACACTAGTACAGACCACACATACTGTCCTCTATAGCTCATGTTTGTTCTTAGCGTGTCCATTTAAAGCTCAAATTCATTGTTCTTCCTGCGTGAGAAAATGCCCCATTTTGCATGACAATAGGAATGCTCTATCATAACCATAATCCCTCTTTGTGTGTGTGTGAGAGAGTGTGTGTTTGTGTGAGTGAGTGAGTGAGTGGTTCATTGGCTTGAATCCATCTTAAATTTATATGTCCCCTCCCTTCTCATTTGTGTTTGGGCATGTTTGACCTTTGACCTGACATACCTTCCCCTCCCCACTCAAACTAACAGCCATGTCAAGCAGATGGAGGAGGAGCTGAGAGCTCTTGACCAGACACTGAAGACTCTTCAGGCCTCAGAGGAGAAGGTATTCTTGCTAGTTGCAAAATTCCATGTTTATATGTGGGACGTTTTATATGTGGCCGCTTGTATGTTCATTGGAGACGTCTGGGAGAATGTTGCTTTCTAGCTAGCTCTGGAGTTTGTGTGTGTGAATGGAAGCGTGCAAGTGAAAGATAGTCACAGAATACCAAAAGAAGAGAGCAGGAAAAACAGGACTCCTCCCCTCCGGCACTGCTTCTACTGTTTTACCTAGATCATCAACTTTTCACCCAATCCCATCATCTTTCCACCTTCCTTCCGCTCCTCTAATCATCCACTTACAAGCGTCGGTAAACCGCATGAGTGGCGTTTACTTAAAAGTGGCATGATGTGCATGTTCATGTAACAAGCTTTAGTCACTGTGCATTTTTGTGTCTCATCTACCCAAAGCCGAAGCGTATATGTTCATTTTTCCACAACAAACTGCTTTCACTTTTAGAATCACACTAGTTTGGCTTTCTTGACACACATTTCACAGAGTATAGCTCTCAGTATAACCTGAGGTTTGTTAGATATTCTCCATGTTTGATAGGCAGTAAGCTACCAAGCACTTTTGTAATGTCACACCCAACAGTACATTTTAAAGGGATAGTCTATCCAAATATGAAAATGTCATTTCGAACTCTTTCCTGTTAAACTCGCAACTTCTAAAGCAGATTTTCCAGTTTTTCATACTATATAGGTGTACATTTGTGTACTATATACTTTTTGAGGAACAGCTTTTAAAGCTATGAACTCAAACTGAATTCCCGGAGGGCTGCTGTTCTGCATAGTTTAGCTCCAACCAACTCCAACTCACACCTGCTTAATAGTCTTTAGTGGTCTTAAACACCTTGATAAGTTGGATCAGCTGTGTTTGATTAAGGTTGGAGCAAAACTGTGCAGAGCTGTGACCCTTCAGGAATCGAGTTTGAGACCTGTGATTTAAACTGTTAGTTCACCCAAAACTGGAATTTGTTTTTAATTACTCGCCCTCATGTCGTTTCAAGACCTTCGCTTGTCTTTACGAGACAAATGAAACTATTTTAGATTAAATCAGAGAGCTCTCTCATCTTCTATTGACTCCAAGGTTCTTGACTCATCCAGAAAAATACCAACAAAATGTATGTAAAAACATCCATATGCCTTCAATGCTTTAATTGGAATATTATATCTGGATACAAGAATAGATTGGTGCACACAAAACAAAATCATTGACTTTATTCAGCATTTTCTTTGCCTCAGTGTCAGTATAGGGTGCACACCTTATTCATGAGGAATGTGCAGTGATGTTTGGAACATTTGGATGCCTGTGCTCAACTCCCTCTGTTTGAAATGAAGCACAGGTGCATCCAAATTAATTCGCCAGAGGCACAGCCAAGTGTGACACATGAATGCGACGTAACGTAATTTTAAAAAAATGGGTGAACTGCCCCTTTAAATGGTTACTTTTTGTAATGAGCATCAAAATGATTTCAAAATGATAAAAAAATTGTGTGAGAATGATAACGTCAGACAGAAGGGAGAACAGCATTGAATTTACTGTCCTTCCCCATAGACGCTGCATTAGAAATGCCTCATAATACATTTAATTGAATATGAATAAATATTAATGTACATAATTTCTAAAATATTAAAAACTTTTAGGCATTTAAAATTATGATAACCATTTAACACATCATAACAGTTTTGTGAAAAGGGTCCATAATGTATTTATGTAATACACACTTCGGTTTTAAAAGTCTTTTGTTGATCAAAATGCTGTAAAATTATCCATTGTGAAATAGGGATGCAACGGTTAACTGATTTCACTAACAATCACACTTTAATTTGTCACGGTTAATCACAAAGGCTTCTCAGCATTGTGTTTCTGCACTGAACGAAACTGCTGCAACTAAACTAAGTTATGCCAACTGTGTGCTGGTTCGAAATTCTAAACTTGAACACAGAGGCGAATTCCCCGCACACTGGATTAACTATGGCTGAGGCTATTAATAAGAGCTATTAACATATTGCGTGTTTCATGCACGCAAGTTTGTTATTTCCAATGGAGGCTAGCGCGCGCTTTCCAGGCACACGTAGTTGAAAGAACACCACAAGCGCATTGAGTCATGTGACGAACTGAACCAATCGGCTTCATGCTTTCTATGGAATATACACATTTCTACTCTAAAGAGGAAAAAAATACAAAAAGGTCCATTTTCACAAGCCTGTTATGACGCATTTAATGGTCATCAGCATCTTAAATCCCTAAAAGTGTTTAATATTTAGATTTTATTTTGTATGAATGAACATTTATGTGTATTTATGTATGTAGGACATCATCTTTGCTTCAATTTACAAAAAGCTACTTATCACTTGTGCGAGGTGTTTCTAATGCAGCGTCTATGGGACAGGACGGTATATATGATGTTATTCTCTCCTCTGGCGGCCGTCATCAGTCTTGCACTATTTTTCCCCTCTTACTGAAAGTCTTTATAACATCATCATGGAGTTTTTCTTTTATTATTTCAGCAAATAGGATTGTAAAAAAATTTTCTTGTACTCTCCCATTCACTGTGCTTTAAGTGTTCACAACTATGATGACTTCCGCTACTGAGAAACACGGAAAAGGGTCTATGAAAAATACCAAACAATTTCGTAATATAGTTTATTAAAAGTGCGCTTCAGACAGAGTTTCAGCAACATTTGACTAAATTTGTTCTCTTTAAAACAGAAATACTTAGCAAATATGTAGCTTAGATTTATATTAGACACTCTACACTTTAAATACAAGGAGTTTTCATGTTAATTTTCTATACTAGTAGTGTTTTGAAATGAATGAATGTATAATAAGCGTAATAACAATAAAACCATGATTATTTGCCAGACCATAATTGTACAACCAAAATCTATAATTGTTGCATCCCTAATCATGAAACATCGTTGGCATCTACAAATTTAATTTAACTAAATGTTTTTTTATTTAGATTTTTCTTTATTTTTAGACTTCTAATTATCTTCATTGTATAGTCTTGCTATAAATCACATCTTAATGTTTTCAAATGGGTTTGAAATGACATGAGACTTCATAAACGACATTTTTTGAGTCCACTATCTCACACACAATGATCATTTAAGGCCTCTTATGTACTGTGCACATGTTTAACATCACCTCTATTACTCTGCCACTGCTGGCTTGTCTTCATGTCTTCCCTTTGCCCTGTGCCCCTTTCTTTTCTGCTTCCTCCAAATTCAAACCGGCTGCTCTGTATATAGCAAATGCGCTGAGCTGGAGGAGGAGCTGAAAAATGTCACCAACAATCTTAAGAGTTTGGAGGCCCAGGCTGAGAAGGTAGGGAAGTGTGTGTGTGTGTGCATTTCATTCTGCACGATCTGTGACTGGTTGCAGTGTTTAAGTTAAATTTTTAACCCTCCAAAGAACTAATTTAATCAAACAAACAACTTTCTTATTGCCATAGCAGTGATCTAACTGGTCATGTGAGCATAACATGAGCGACCTTATTTACAAGTGGCCTTTTGCCTGTTGTACAGCTATATATCATCAGCCATAACAAAAGGCCACGCATGTCAGACTACATTACACTGGTAGAGTATTACATCAAGAAAAAAAGCCACAGGGATGAAGTGAAGACCCCCACTCATTGCCCATATCCATCTCCGCTTTAGATGTGCCTCAAGGACTGTTATGTAATGAGTCAAGCATCGCCATTTTGCTCCCTTATAGAATCAAGCGCAACCAGTCTTGGATGCCTTGACTAATGAAGCAGAAGAGATGCTAATGAATGCTGTGTTGCATGACATCAACATATGAAAGAAACGCCCTTTATTTGCATGTCATTCGGCAGCATGCTTTTTGTTTTTAGTGCTGTGGAATTTTAGGTGGAGTCCCTTTATTGGATTCCATTTGTTTGCTTAATGAAATCTGTTGCTTGTTGGTTATTTTAGTTTCCAAATAGTGGAGGTGGTTTAACTGTCTCAGTGCAATGGACTGTAAATAGTCTACAAAGTTTTGTTTTAATGCAGTAAATGTTAGTGACATGGAAAATAAATACAATTGTGTACTATAACATAAATATATATACTTTCAATCAAAATAATTTTATTGTAGTTTTTTCCACTGAAGCTAAGCAGGGCTGTGCCCAGTCAATACCTGGATGGGATACCACATGGTAAAGCTAGGTTTCTGGCAGAAGTGGTGTTAATGAGACCAGCAGGGGGTGCTCAACCTAAGCTCTGTGTGGGTCCTAATGCGCTAGTATATTGATATAGACTCTACACTACTCAATGAGCACTGTCTTTCAGATGAGACGTTAAACCGATGTCTTAACTCTCTGTTTTAAAAATCTCAGGATTTCCTTCGAAAAACAGTAGGGGTTTAACCCAGCATCCTGACCAAATTTGCCCATCATGGCCTCCTAAGCATCCCCATATCTTAATTGGCTTCATCACTCTGTTTCCTCTCAACCAATCAGTTGATGCTGCACACTGATGGTGAATGAGATTCCCCCCAGCATGATTGTAATATTATTATTATTATTATTACTTGCACACATGCAGTGCCAAACAAATGAATACACCCCTTACAGTTCTCTTTTTTTTAAAATTAATATTTACTATAGTGATGCTATACAATATATGTGTATATACATTATATTAGCGCCGCAACTGGAACTAATGTAACAAAGTGACTTAAGATCAAATTTGTAAACCCCAATGAAAATGAAAGTAGAGGAAAAGAGAGCCATGAAAATATTGATTTAATGCAGTTGATTTGTACAATTTTTCAATTCAGTTGAAACTTTTTTTTATTTTTATTTTTTTTATTGTTGCAATACCTCATTTGAATTGAAATGTATTTCACTTCTTGTACTTTCTAATCCTAAAGATATTAGTTGACCATGTACTAAAGACTAAAAGTCTTTGGTTTTAATCACACCAAAAATATTTTCTATATTAACTGGAAAACGGATAGAAATATTAATCAAAGGTGGTGTACTGCTTTTTGTTGTACAGCGTGTATGGATGTGTATATGTCAAAATAGAATAGGGCTGTTTTCCCCTTTCTGTCATACCTGGTGTGTTTTGTTGATGTTGCTGCTGCATTCCTGCGCACATGTCCTGATCTGTTTAAAGCTTTGGCAGCTCACTGTGCCGATGTCAGCCATCATGTCACAATCCTTGCTCAACAACAGCAGGCCAGGACTCAACCAGCCTGCATAAAAACTTAGAGGAAAAGGGGGGGGAAATGCACTACATGATGCCGAAGCAGAGACTTTTCTCCTTCAGAGCTGTTGTAGAGACATGTCATGAAATTGCTAGTCTGTTTGAAGTGTTCCAAACTTACAGGGTGTGTGTGTGTTCATGCTGAGTTGTGGGATTTCTCACAAGACCCCACCCCAATTCATAGTGCTCCATTTGTTTTCCCTACAGTATTCCCAGAAGGAGGACAAGTATGAGGAAGAAATCAAGATCCTCACTGATAAGCTGAAGGAGGTGAGAGATATTAAATGGAGCATCACGACTTGTGCTAGTCAGTAGTTGAGTCCTTCACAAGAATTCTAGAACATATTTCCATGTCTAATCCACACAACAAATAAAAAGAATAGCTGTACTTATTTTTAAACACTGAACAACCTGTCCGCCATCATTCTACGAAGTAGTAGTCCTGCCTGAACTTTTGCCATTGCTTGTTACGGTAGCTATGTTTTCATTTTTTAAATTTTATGTGTAATTCGGAATATCGCATTAAACAGGGCTTAATGGAAACCCCCGGTTGCATGTAAAAGTATTCATGCAACCGGGTACAGGGTCCCCACAGGGTTTTAAAGTCTTAGGGCCCTATCATACACCCAGCGCAATGTGGCACAAGGCGCAGCGCAATAGTCTTTTGCTAGTTTCAGCTTGGCGCAAGAGTTGTTTTGAGGCGTTGTGCTACGCTGTTTAAATAGCAAATGCATTAGCGCGCAGAGTTGCGCCTCGCTTACACACTGCTTAATACACACGAGAGCAATAGGCAAATATTCTTACATATGAAAAAATTTAAATATTAAGGATATATAGGATATAATGAGAATAGATATAGGATATAAATATAAAGGATTAAAATATTACTAAACATTATTTTCTAGCCTACATAAATATGAAAAATCACTGCTTTTATGTCTTCTTCATCTCGGGAGGCTTTTTCAGTTCATTCATAACAATTTGCTTTTGTATAATGTTGTTATTATTATTAGCAGTATTATTTATTATATCCATATTTATATTTGTTTTATTAAAAAAAAGCTTAGATTTGCCCACCGGTCAGATTTTAGATCATATGGGGCAGAGCATGTGTTTTAGGATATAACTCAGGTTTTTGAGCACATTTTGTTATTATTGTTGATTTATTCGTTTGCTTAAAATTAGAACTGAATTTAGAAATAGTTTTGAAGCAAATATTTGCGCTTAACAAACGAAATTAATTATTTATAGACTGATGTCTGAGCGTAAAGGTTTCCTAGAGCGAAAGTGAAAGTAGATCCATTATCTCTCATTCTCATGCAGTAGATGCTCTGTTTAACAGTTTTCTGTTAATATGTTAACTCTTTGCTTGTGAAATGCTCAGTTTTTCCACTTAGACTTACTTTACGTCCTGTAAATAGCAAATGCGCTTAGCGTGATGCAGATGGCTCTTAAAGGGAATGGGAGATGAGACTCTAATTGGTTTATTCTCAAAACACACCTGTAACTCATTAAGAAAATAAACTCAACCCTTTTAGACCATGCGCCATAGCGCAAAGCGGATTTTCCCATCCTTAAATTAACAAAAATGCGTTCTGACACGCCCTGAAAGCGTTTGCGCCCTGCGTTTTGCGCTCTGCGCATGGACCGTCAAAATAGAGCCCTCAATGTCTTAAATTTCAAAAACAAAATTTAAAAAGTCTTAAATTAGCTGAAATATTAACTTGTAGACCTTAAATATTTTTTAAAACAAGTCTTAATTTTCCTCTCTCCATCTAAAGCTGCCCTATCAGGCCAACATCCATCCACTCGCCAACAATCTATATAAATAATACCCTTTTTTTTAAACGTTTATGTTATTTAATGCTAAGAGATGCAATTTACAATAGCTACTCGACATTTTTTAAAGCAATTTTTCCAAAATAAATTCCCTAATCAGGGAAAGAAAACTAAAAACGATTACACAATTCCTCATGGTAATAACAGAGCAACATATCACTTTACAATCTTAAGTAATACTCTGTCAATTTAGACCAAAAGCCAACAAATGTACATTTTTGTTTATTTTATTGTCTCCATAATAAATATACTTTTCACAATGTTGAACTTATCCTTAAGACAGGGGCGTCCTGGAGGGCCGGTGTCCTGCTGTGTTTAGCTCCAACTTGCCTCAAAACACCTGTCAGGAAGTTTCTAGTATATCTCGTAAGAGCTTGATTAGCTGGTTCAGGTGTGTTTTGATTAGGGTTGGAGCTAAACCCTCCAGGACACCGGCCCTCCAGGACCGAGTTTGAACACCCCTGCCTTAAGATAAAAGTAACTAGTTTTATGTGTTTTGACACTATTGAAATATGTTGCTTAAAATGATTACATTTTACTGTATTTATTTTTTTTTTTTTTGAGGCAACCAACTGGGCCCTTATAAATATTCATTAGTGTTTAGCCCCGAATAACTCTAAAATTGAATTCATAATGGTCTTTTAAATGTCCTTAAAGTCTTAAATTTGACTCGATCAAACCTGCAGATTCCCTGGAGTAGGATAAGCGTTTTGGCCGATAAGAGAAAATGTGCATCAACTTGTATCAAAGCACATTCAGCAAATAAATTCCAGCATGCGTAATCATGTCATAACAAAAAATAGGCACATTTATGATTCATTCATGGACAAACCAACAGACCAACCACATCTGAAAAGTTGTTTTGGTCATTCTAAAATCCTTTAGGCAATGTCTGTCACAAACAGCATCTCACACTTCCTAAACCCATCGCATATTGATTGCATTTTGTCTTCTGAGGCACAAATGATTTATTATATAGGAAACAAAACCCAACAGTGAATTCTCTTACTGCAGCAATTTCCATTTTCTATTTGGTATTCAGCATCAGTTTATCAGGAAGTGTCTATTTTGTTCTCTTTGACTCATTGGATGGAAATATTGCCTATTCACTAATATTTTAAGCAAGTTTCAAGATTTGCGCATAATTCTAATTCTCATATTTGAATTGAAATGTAGCTATTGATTAAAATCACACTGAAGGATTTTTTAAAGTCTAATTGTAAAATATTGTGACTACTTAATCATAATAAGTTGTTAGTTTTAGCTTTTTTTATTTAACATCTGTAAAGTTTTTTAGAAGAAATGAGAGTAGATGGGCAGAATTAACAATAATAACTCGATTCCCTTCCAGGCTGAGACCCGTGCAGAGTTTGCTGAGAGGTCTGTGGCCAAACTGGAGAAAACCATTGATGATTTGGAAGGTATGATTGTTTCCTCATTTTTAACTTCATTCCTTCTGTTAGCTGTAAAATGACTAGTCATGCTCTTTTCTTAGCTTTCATGTTCCTCATGTCTACAATGGCATTCATAATCTGCATTTCCTTTTTTTATACATTTCCTTTATCTTTCCTTCATGCTCTTCCTCTTCTGACGTTTTCTTTCCTCCTGGTTTCTCCCTGTGTGTGAACAGATGAGCTTTATGCTCAGAAACTCAAGTATAAGGCCATTAGTGAGGAGTTGGATCATGCTCTCAACGACATGACCTCTATGTAAATATAGGCCTGTGTGTGTGCGTGCGTGCGTGCGTGCGTGCGTGCGTGCGTGCGTGCGTGCGTGCGTGCGTGCGTGCGTGTGTGTGTGTGTGTGAAACTCTGATTCTTATGGTTTGCTTTGTGACTGAGGTTTGCTGCAATGGCAGATTTGGAGTCTCGTGACTGAAATTGGTTGGCTAACCTTGAGCTTCATAACGTCCGATCATATACTTTTACCATACAGTATAAAGCTAAGCCGCAGGGAGTTAATCATTAACTGTAGATGTTTTAAACGGCCGCTTTATCCCAGTGATGTCATAACTTGGATGAGTGATATTCTAACTGGTATATGATTGTGAAGTAACTAACATGCTAACACTCATTTGGTTTCATCTTAATCTACAGATAAAGGGGACATTTTACCTTTTTATTTGGACTTGGACTGTGAAACACTGGCTGAAATCATTTTTGCTATTTGCAAAAGTAATAGTAACAGTGCTAATATTGAACAGTAGTGTTATATTCAAATGTGGGCTGGTATATGCTAATAATTCTAACTAGTGAAACAAAATACCAGAAATTGTTGTTTTATAGTACCAATGTTGGTACAATTTTAGCTGTAGTAGAAATGTTATGAATGCATTAACCCTTTTACGTGAGTTTTAAATACTCCAGCTGACCCTTCTGCGTGAGGTTTGTTTTTTGTGACATTACTTGGAATTCATTGCATTCTAGTTCCCATGGCAATGTGTCCAAGTTTATCACATGACCCCCATCCCCAATATTTTATTAGCTAGATTGGATACAGCCCAGCATACTCGCGTCAATATAGCATAATCTTTGTGACCCTGTAATTAAATTGGGTCATTACCATGAGGGTTGGGTGTAGGGTTGAGGTAGATGCTAATACAATTAATGCGTAATTTAATAAATATACTTCTCCTTAACTTCCAATTACAGCTGTATCCCTTCTAGCAACAACTGCTGGAGAGAAACTATTCTAGTAATATAAACTGTGTGTACATCTGCGTGAACAAAGCTCATTGTTTAGGTATATTGAAAGATAATTATTGCCATCTCCATAGACATCCTAGTGTGTTTTACAAACCTTAAATGATATGTTTTGCTTGTAGTTATGTGTATTTGAATGTCTGAAACTTAAAATAAATGTTATTCGTTTAAAAGTATGGATAAACTGATTCATGTCAAGCACTATGCACCTCTTTCTTTGCCTCAGCACGCACCGTCAGATTTTAATTTTAGCTGTTGATGACGTGCACTCTGAATATTCTTATCACACCGGTGTGATTCTATGCTTCAGGGACCAGCCAAGCTGGTGTGATCGTATGCGTAATGGGGTTGGCTATAGATAAGTAATAATATATTAAGCATTTTTTTTAAAATATTAAATGAAAAGTTTTTAATAAAAGGACAAAACAGAAACATAAATGGATCAATTTTTCTGTTGGTATAGTATTGTTATATCAAAATCCCATTTCAGTTGTGCCTTTTAAAGAGTTTGTCACTCCTGAACACTATGCTTACTATAGTTGGCAGCTTGAAAAATACCACTTTTTATGTTTCTTTTTAAATGTAAAATATTAGTAATGTATTTGAAACACCAGTAAGCAGACAGACATAGCATCTAAAGAGGTGAAAACTTGACTTGGTGAGTGTCTTTGGTGTATTTAACACATTCTGGCTTCATCACTTCTTTTGTGCATTGCGTTCATGTTCACAAACTAGTACAACCAGTGCCACAAAATGGCTGGTACCAGGACTTTTATTTATGTAAAAAGTACCGATTTGGTCCAACATAATTTTTTAAGCAGTTCTGACTTTGACGATGCCAAATTATAAATGTAAATATCAAAATAGTTATTTATAAAATATGCACTTGTTGGAATAAGAAAGGATGTCCTGTTGTAGATTTGAACATCCCTGTTTTAAATATGTCCCCTTTAAGCCTTTCATTTGCATACTAAGGATTTAACCCTAAAACTCTTTTGAGTTGGTTGGTTTGAGAGCTGTGGCCTTCATTGATGCAAGTATTAACATTTGTTCTTAACAGCTACACGTGCTTGCCAAATGTGCGACTTTCTTGTCATGAGGTGTTTACACTTGGTGTCTGTTGCAGATAAAGAGTTTCTGGACTGTTCTGTGGCTGACTGTGACTTCAAGAAATGCTTCCTCGTCTTCTCTGACTGTCCATATTTGTTGCTTTTTTTTCTTCTTTGTACACTTCCTGTTTTGTGTGTTTTTCCGTGTACTCATGTCTGTAGTGCCAGTTTCTTTATTCTGTTTCTGCTTCTGTTCTTTAGATATTCATTATCTGCCCCAACATCTTCCTCTTATCAGGATCTGTTGTTCTTATGTCCCTGCTTTTGCTCTTCTGTGACCTTTTGCTGTATTTTTCATGCCTTGCGTCCATGTTTATTGAAGGGAGGAGAAAAAACGGCTCTGCTCTCTTTTGAATGTCTGCTTGTCTCTCTTTATTGCAATGGACTGGTGTTGGGCAACCAAGCATTTACCCATCTTCAATTGCACATGTATTATATCTCATGGTTGAAAGATAAAAGGCTTGAATAAATTCTCCGTCACTAATTGTGATTAATCATGAGTTTGAGCTATGGTTAAGATTATTTCTGGTCCATAAGGTTACAGGCTTGAAGGTCTCAAATTAACCCCTAACTCTCGTTCCCAGTTTCAGAACACAGATGTGATACTGACATGTTCACCAGAAATTATTGCCAATTTTCAACCATTTTGTGCATATATTTAATCTGGGTCATATTTTAAAGGGCACCTATGGTGAAAAATCTACTTTTTAAGCTGTTTGGACAGAAATATGTGTAGGTATAGTGTATAGGCGGTCATATTGGGGTGATCTAAACACACAGAGTTCTTTTTTTCAATTTAACAACATAAAAACGGCGGACCAATTGGAGTGGTATTCAGACCGACCACAACTTGACATAGGAGTGCGGTCCCCCCGCCCACCAAATTGATTGACAGCTGCGTAACATGTCCCGGTAGTCACTTGTATAATCATATAAACAAGATAGGATGTGCGCGACCGGGAACAAAAGGTCTGTTCAGTTTGCTAGGATCATCAATCGTCATCAAATGTGATCAAGAGTAAGTTTCACAAGTTTAAAATGTTTTAAAACAGTGCATGTGAGTGATGAATTACATCGATTTACTTCAGATTCACTTTATCAGCACAGCAGCGTCAGAACAATTATGACAATGCTTCAATCTCGGTTTGTGGACGTTAAATCCGATTTATTTTGTACAGTAACTTAACAGATATACATACAGCAGTGGAGATTAGCCTGTATCCTGTCACATCTTCGTGCAAAAAGATTGCAAAGCTAAACGCGCTGTCTGCATGTATGTGCGTATCGTGTCCGTGCTGGGTATGCGTGTTTGTGTGTGCGCGTGAACTTTGTAACGACATTGTGTGGGACTCATCGTTTTAACTTAACACAGCAAGTGTATCAAATACTCGTTGGTAAAGTTCTTACTTTAGTATTTCTCACAAACGCTACGCGAGATCTGCTTCCTTTATGTCTGTTTGTTTGTCTGACGCAGCCGAGGGAGGAGATTAAGGCACGCAGAAAAGCACGTAAAAACGGTGGGCAGGGAGAACCAGCCTTAAAGGCACAGTAAAGCAAAACTGCCACCCAGTGCAAAAATATATATAAAAAAAACGGAATCTTATAAAAGGTATAATGAAAAAATCTGATGGGTGTTTTAAGCTGAAACTTTACTGACACATTCTGGAGACACAAATGATTCATAATAAATCTGAAAAAAGGGGTAACCTAGGTGCCCTTTGAAGTAGACACTTATTAGATTCTACTAAAAAAGTTCATAAATCCAAAGTTATGTGCCTTTTAGTTTGATAAGTAATGCAGATTAGTTAATAAAGAATTATGTAAGGTAAAATATAGATATTTTTCCTGTTATTTATATATGTACGAATGTTTCGATTTGGGCAGAAATTAAAAGCCTATTATTTGAACCAAGTACATTAGTAAAGTAAAATGAGTAAGTTTTATGTTTATATATTAAAAAATAAATTAGCTTTCAGTAAGATTTAGTTTAGTCACAGAACCAAACATCACCATCAGATGCCATCCAGTTTCCTTTGGTGACCACATAAGGGCTGTGTCTGTATTGTTCTGATTATCATTATATTTTTCTTTGTATGGTTTGAGCAATAAGAACCATACTTTTTTATTATTATTATTTGATCGTATTTGTCATGCAGTCATCACCTTCTAAATTATTATGGCTAGATTGGTGGTATTTGATTTTGAATTTAGCTTCTGGAAAAAAATAGGGGAAAAAATGCATCGAGATAACAGGATGTGTGTTGTAGTAACAAGAAATGTCTCAATAATGATTATTATACTAATAATAATAATAATAAAGTCTCTTACACAAATTGAGACTTTTCTATTTTTCTTAATATTTAATACATGTTCAGACATTTTCTAAAAATAAAGAAAATGTTATCCAACTATCCGATTCAAAATATTCAGAACATATAGAAAAGCTCCTTTCACAATAAATGACGTTTAACAGTATCACAAAAAGTGAAAACTGGCTTCGGTGTATTTAACACATTTTGACTTCAACACTTCTCGATGTATATTGCAATGACATTCACAAACGGGCACAACCAGTGGCACAAAATGGCTGGTACCAGTTTTTTTTTTATATTTTTTTATTTTTTTATTTATTTATCCATCAAACAATTTTTAGTGGTGATTGCTGTAGCAGACTAATGCTTTTTAACTCTGAGTATCTCTGTTGGTCAATTGTAACTGTTGCTATAAAAATCATGAGATGGTCATGAAATATGAAAATTAGAAATCAAGCTTTCAAGTGATATAGAGTTTGTCATGATTGCTTGTAAAAATGCAAGTGCGAACGATCCCACAGTTTGTAGGGTGACTGTAAATGGCTTTTAATCCATTTACCCTTCTTATGTAACAAAACAATGGTAAAATATGTATTCAGAAAAGGACCTTTTGAATTATATTTATTTATATATATATTTATTTATATATATATATATTTCATGATTTGACTAATTTACTATGTTGCAATTAAATACTAAACATAAGCACACCACTGGCAAGACGGTAAGAGTTGAGGGGTTAATGGGGGGAAAAAAGGCCTAAATCAGATTTTTGACTTTGCATTAGGGCTGCACACTGTTAAAAAAATCTAACATTGCTTTATTTTTTTTAATTCTGTGATTTATATAATGCAATATGAACATCATTTCACTAGATGTGTTGAATAACAATAATTTTAGATTGATTGGGATAATTCTGTAGGGGACTGCATATGCATAAAATATAAGAAACAATCTACAGGCACAGATACATTTAATAAATAGAATATGAATTAAATAAACAGTGTTTTATTGGTTTCAGGAGTCAAACTGTATTCTAGTAGAAAGTAATTAAATAATCCAATGTAAAATAATACTGCACAATCTTCGTTTTCTAAACTATTCAATAAAATAATAGTTAAGTTACAAACGGCACAATTTCTTAAGCCTGGATGGTTTCAAACCCCTCACAACATTCACAGGCCTCAAAAAACGCTTACTAAATGATAATCCAGACTCAACATTGCATACACTCGCGACAACTATTGGTAATGATCATATTGCCATAACGAAGCTGAAACGATATAATGTGCAGCCATATTTTGTAGTTTTTTTCGCCATCATTTTAAAGCGAAGAGGATGAACAAGCTAGTCCATTTTAGTTATGATGAATGAATCTTAAATGCAGCTCAGAAAAAAGGAGTCATTTCGTGGAGCAATTTGTTTAGTCATGCAATGCTCTGTACTGGAGTTAGTTTTCCTGTTTTTTAGTTTTTCAAGTCGTCCATTCATCACGAGACAGCCCCATATTAAGCTCAATGTTGGTGTTAGTTGTAGATGTGTTTTGGAAGCAACTCGAAACATTTTTATTCTATGTTGGCAAATTGAACAAAATGACTTGGAGTCTCGTTCAATGAGATGGCCGAATCGAAGATCAGAGTTGGTAACTTCCCCTAACTAGATCATTTAAACCTATCTAACTTTTTTTTTTTTTGCATTTTATTGCTGTTTGGTTTATAATTTTATTAATGAATAAAATAAAAAAACTGTCTCTCCGCTGAAAGATTGATGAAATGCGCTTTAAAATGTTTTATAAGAGATCAAAATAAATCCATTTTAACTTCAAGTCTTCTAAATATAAGCAGTTACTTGATTTGTTGAGATTTAATTTAGGAATTCTCATATAAATGTAGATCATTGAACTTGGACAGAAGCTCAGACATTGCTGCTTGATGCATAAGAGCTTCTGCCTTGACACAAAGAATGAACCTGTATTTTTGTGCGTGCATCAAACAAGCATGCTTGAGCTTTCTGTAGCAACATTTGAGTGCTGAATGCTTTTGTGAATTAATGTCTGCATCAAGTCTGCAACCCGTAAAAAACATTCCAGGCTGTCAAGCTCTACCCTTAACCTACCCTTTTATATTATTATTATTATTATTATTGTCTAGAGTTATGAGTCAGATATTTAGTCTCAGATATTGAGTCTCAGCTATTTAAAAAAATCATATACATAATTTACACAAGGTCATATGTCCTACTATAGAGAGTCTTACTTTTATGCCTTACTTGAATCCATTGGAAAATAAGTCAGATATTTGCACTTGGTGTTATTTATGTGAATAACAGAACTATCAGAAATTCCCATTCCTTTCAGTGGCTGCCCCAATTATTTTTTAATCAAAGTTTATCACAACAGTTTTGCCTGGATCAGGGATTTATTATGGATTAAAAATGGTAGGGGGCCAGACAGCTGCCTCTTCTTTAGGCTAAAAACATTGATTCTTGCTTTGCATACAAAACATCGATCCTTTCTGCTTATTCAGTTCAGTTTGTCTTTTCTACAGCCCAACACTTCCCATTTTAAAATGTCTGAGCAGCTGTATTCTTGCCAGTGTATAAATCAATTAAGCAACTGAACAGCGGTTTTGTTTTTGAAGGATGAATACATGTTCGAGTTCTTTCTAAAGCTAAATACTGACCAGTGGTCCTGTTGAAAGTTAGTTGTGGAAGAACAAGTATTTGTGTTTTTGTAAAGGTTTAATGCATGGCTGCATGCCATTGAGTGAAATGAAAAGGCCCTCATTCAGCTGCAAGTTCTCCGAAAATTAGTTTATCGTGAAGTTATTTTTACCCCAGTGCTGCGGCAAAAGCAGAGCATTGACATGGTACCGTTGCGCAATGCTAACACTGCAGGATAAACCCCGGCATACTTCAGATGAATGTTATCTACAGAATCTTCCAGCATAAATCTGAGCACTTTCACAAGTCCTTCTTAATAAACCGAAACTGGCAGGCAGATTTAATGATTTAGAGAATTTGCAGAGATAGTTTAACATGCTATCAGAATGTCATCATTACTATATGGTTTCAAAATGGTCAATAATTAAAGCTTTTTAAGAAATAGTTTTAAGTAGTTTCTTTTAATCAGTCATTTTAATTAGTAATATTTCACAATATTACGGCATTTGCGGTCAAATGATGAGATGTCTGCAGTTATTTTAAACTGTTTACCATCAGATCTGAAGCATTATCAAGTTTCCTAATGTAATGCTGTACAATTCAGTATCACAGTTTGATTTTTTTTTTCTTTCTCTCTCTCTCTCTCTGTATTCAGTCATTTTAATTGGTTATAATTTACAATATTATTGTATTTGCTGTTGCAATGATGAACTTTTAAGACATCTCATAAAAACAAAACAAAAACATGGTAGTTATTTCAAACTTTTTAGCATCAAGATCTAAAGTATTATTAGGTTTCCTGATCTTATCCTGTACAATTCAGTATTACCGTTTGATTTTAGGTTGATTTAGATATTTGGAAGTCTCTTCAGTCATTTTAATTGGAAAGAATTCACAATATTACTGCATTTGCTGTCGCATGATGAATTTTGAGACTTCTCACAAAATCAACTAAACAATTGTAGTTATTTAAAACTTGACATCAGATCTGAAGCATTATCGAGTGTCCTGATGTTGTCCTGTACAATTCAGTATTACAGTTTGATTTTTTTTTTTTAACGTATTATTTGGCCATTTTAATTGATAATTGACCATTTTAATGTATTTGCTGTCGCATGATTTCTCACAAAAACAACAAAACAATCGTAGTTATTTTAAACTTTTGAACATCAGATTTAAAGCATTATTTAGTTTCCTGTATAATGATGCTATCCGGCAGTATTACGTTTGAAGCGTTTAGTTTGAAGTCTCTTATTTAGGCAGTTTAGTTGGTAATAATTCACAATATTACTGCATTTGCTGTCACATGATGAACGTTGAGACTTCTCACAAAAACAAAACAAACAAAAAATTTTTAGTTATTTTAAACTTTTTAACATCAAGATCTGAAGCATCAGTATTACAGTTTGATTTGTATATTTGGAAGTCTCTTCAGTCAGTTTAATTGGTAAAACATTACATTGTTACTGTCGCATGATGAACTTTTGAGACCTTTCACGGCAAAAAATAATAATAATAATAAATTTCAAATATTTAGATCTGTAGCATTTTCGAGTTCCCTGATGTTGTCCTGTACAGTTCAGCATTGCAGTTTGTTTTACACAAGTTTTAAGTTTACATTTAAAAAAAAAATAGTTTGGAAGTCTCATTCAGTCATTATATTTGGTAATATTTCACAAAATAGTACTTTATTTGCTGTTGCATGATGAACTTTGAGACTTCTCACAAAAACAAAACAAATCAAACTTTTTAAACTACAGATCTGACGCATTATTGAGTTTCCTGATGTTATCTTGTACAATTCAGTATTACAGTCTGATTTTTAGAGTTTGATTTTGATCTTTGGAAGTCTCTTCTGTCATTTTAATTGGTGGTATATCTAGGCCTGCCTCTATCTACTTTTTCTGTTGTGCAATATATTGCTTCAAATAAACAATGTTATCATTTTAAAACCCTTTCATGTCACTCATCATTATATAATGCCAGAATGACTATATAATATCATCACAATGCAGGTACACTCTTCCAAACAACACGTCATATTTTATTCTTATGACATTTTAACTATTGAATAATTAGGTGGAATCAGAATGTGAAAACGTATTTCCCAAACAATTAAATAATAATAAATGTTGTCAAAGTTCAAGGTAAAAAGGAACAGGCTGACATCTGCTACCAGATCTATTTTCAGTTGTCAGACTCCCACATGAAGATATACTATAGTAATTTATAGTAAATACTACAGTATGTTTTTAACCTACCGACACTGACACCTCTAATAGATATAGAGATGTGCAATCAGCTAAAATGTTGCTAGAATTGACTTTTATGTATGGGTGATATACATTTCATCACCAAAAATGATTGAGGTCATGTCCATGTGTTGTGCAATACATTGACTTGTTGATTATTGTGACAGGCCTAAGTATATCCCAGTATTACTGTATTTAATATTTGCTGTCACATGAACTTTTGAGACTTCTCTCAAGAACAAAACCAAGACAACGATTGTCATTTTTTCAAACTTTTAACATCAGATCAGATTGAGTTTTCTGTAGAATGATGTTATCCTGTACAATTCAGTTTTACAGTTATGTTTTAGAGTTGAATTTTCTCTCTCTCATTGCAGAGAAACTGAGAGATGCTAAAGAGGAGAACATCAAGATCCATGCTACTTTGGACCAGACCCTGAGCGAGCTCAATAGTTTCTAAAGAAGACCTGGAGCAGAAAAAAGGCCTTTTCTTCCCTTCTTGACTCCCTCATCTCATTTTGGTTTCTTTGTCTCTGCACATCTGATTCTCCCCCTTTTTTTTCTTCTCTTCTTCTGCTGGAGGATAAGCTCACCAAGCCAACCAGCAAAAATGTGGTGCCTCTCAATTTTTCCAAACTACTATTCCAAGTGATTTGAGAAATGATCTACTACGATACTCCTCAAGAGTCAAATGTTGACCTCGGGGAGCCTTTTTTGGTATTGCTCCATGATCAGAGCTTTACGAGCTAGTGTTTTTTCTGCATATCAGCCCAAACTCTCAATGATAATTTTACTGGAGGCTGATTTTTGTAAAATTTTGTGCCATAAAAGCCTTGTTGGCTTGTCTCTTGCTTGGCTTTAGATCATTCTCAAGCCATTTTTTTCCTGCTGTTGCTCTGACACAGGTTGTTTTTGCTGGTCTTGTTGGTGCCTGATCCACTGCTATCCTTTTCACACCTCTTTTTTTTTTTTCTTCATCCTGCACAAGTTTCTGCTGCCTGTTAGTCGGCATCACCGGTTTTGGGACCAAAACCACATCATGTGGTCTGTAACAGTATGCACAACCATGCCGTGAGGACCAAATTTGTTTTATTATTGTTATTATTATTAAAAGCCTTTGCTTCCATTCGGAGTTTGTTTTTTTGAGTAATATATGTATTCATTGTTTGGGTCGAATCCCCTTGCTTTTTTAACACAAATGTTTTGCAAACCACTATTTGAAATGGTGCACTGTTATGGGCTTATGGTGAGCAGATGAGGCCAAGTCATGGTTTCTTCATTATAATTTTCTTTTCATTTGCTTTAAAGAGCCATATTCTACCCAGGGAAGAAAGGTTGAAGTTGTTTTGTTTTTTTACCGTGAGTTCAAAGCAGTGGCACTGCCAGATTTAAAAGGTTCAAAAGCCGTGCAGATCTAAAATATGTATTATGAACACAGTAATGGGAGCGAATTGTAACACTTAATAGTATACAAATTTAAGAAACAGGGGTGAACACATAGTTTTAACTGGAAAAAGCCCACAATGATGTGTAATCACTTTGTTACTGTCTGTATCTTGTGTAATGATACCTAAATTCTTTTTTTAAATAAAAACCATGATTTTTACTGTCACTGAACCACTGTGTTTTTATGGATTTGATTTTTCATCAGATTTTCATTTTTTTTTTCTTATTTTTGTTTATTTCTAGAAACAAAAACGGACGTTTTTCTTGAACAGTCACTGATATTTATTTGGAAGGATATCCGTTTCAAGATGGACATCAGTACTGTTTTGTTTGTGATAGAAGTCTAATTTCAACCTTTAATTTTAATACATACAGTGATTTAAACTTTAAATAATTTTGAGAATGTTACAATATTGTTAAATAACATGAATGTTATGTACATTGATTCTGTAGATTTATTTCAAATATTCCAAAGAGGTGTCAATAAAAAAGCAAAACAATTACCCAAAGATAAATATTTACTCCTCCATTGCTTCTAAACTAATGAATTTTTTACTTCTGTTGAACACAAAACAAGATATTCTGAAGCATGTTGTAAAAAAGCAGCCATTGAAATCTATGGTGGGAACAAAATTACCATGGTAGTTATTGGCTAATTTTATCTTGTCGTTCTTTAAAATATCTATATGTGTTCAGCAAAACGATGAAACTGGTTTTAAACAGGTGGAGTAAATGATAGCAAAATAAAATTTTTTGGGTGAACTTTTCCTTTAACACAATGAAGCTGCACAATTAGAGCATTAGATCAGCATTATATTTTCTAATAACATCATGTGACCCTGAAAACCAGTGTTGGGGGGGAATTCATTGTATGTAATGGAAGTTAAGTAATCGGATTACTTTTTCCAAGTAACTAGCAATGCATCAGATTACTTTTTAATTTCTCTGAAAATATAGAAGTAGAGTAAATTCCAGTTATTTTGTTTTATTATTTATTGACTGACACTGACGGCATGTTGATCTTGCAGTAGATCTGTTTTAAGCCCTGGTCAGATCACACGATTTTATTGTCACCTATGTCAGATTATGCGACTTTGTCTTGATAATCTTGTCGTGGGCAACAAATGTGCCAGACTACACGTTCCTTCACGATCAGTCATCCCATGATGTCTATGACGAGTGTTATTTCCCAAAGCATTCACAAGTGTTGTTATAACAATATATCTCATTATTATTGTTGTTTTTTGTTATGTCAGTCTCAATAAACATTGATGCTTGCTGACAAATAGGCTACATTATTTAAGGGCATTCGTTATGACATTTTAAGAAAGCACATGCAACTACAAAAAAACGCCAGCAAATAAAGAAACCGTCTTCATCAATTTGACGTGTTGCAAATTGGTCACAACACAAACAACTGAAGAAACGTGCTGCAAATTGGTCGCAACACTGGCAAGTATACACTAATACAATGGAAATGTTTCTAATGTGTTAAATAAAATTGCTTAAAACACCTAAATGTTTTAGAAAAGGTAGTTTAAGTTTGCATAACCATGATTGATCTTATCCACCCGAGACCCAGCTATAAGTAAAAAGCAGCCTTTTTGATTACCTGACCCACAGATTAATGTCAGCGCCCGCTGAGATAACTCAGAAATTCAACCACGTGACAGAACTTGTCGTAAAGAAAAAATTTAACATGCTAGATTTTCATTGTATTGGTTGTCGTGAACTATGCCACATTACACAAGAAGAAATGATTGGACCTATGATTTGCGACGCCCATTTGTCGTTTAAGACTCCACACGACACCTTACTTCAAGGAAATCAAGACAAAATCGTGTGATTTTTACCGGGGCTTTAAAAGCACAAAAAACAATTTGGTATTCCTTTAGATTAATAAAAGCTTAAATGTTTATATATCTCATTCTTAATACAATCTAGAAATGTAGCACAGCTGAAAGGTTTATGAGGCTTAAAAATGCTTACGTCTTCCAAAAACAGACATTATTTTCTTTTAAAATAATAAAAACTAACAGCAAGCTCAGTCAAGATGGAAAAAGTAACACAAATGTACGTAATGTAACATTTCTTTTAGAAGTATTTTCCCCCAACACTGCTGAATAGTAGAAACATGCTGTCATCACAACAATACATTTTAATCAATACGTGAAATTGAATAAATTTGACTGTTTTCACCACTGATCTACATAGAAAACTATTCTCATTATCATTCTATAAACATCAGTGGTTGTTATTATTACTGATATTTTAACCAATATGTACGTTTATTGTCAAACATGGTGCAGTTATACAGTATATTTAAACTACTAGTGTTTTCCGTGAGTGAATATACTACGGCGTTCTAGAACAGCGGGTCGTTCTCGTATTTCCACAGCCGCCCTTCTCCTGCTCGAAAGCGGTTTTTCCCTCCGAACAGACAAGGAAGTTTATGGTTGGCCTTCATCACCACAGCAACCGTGCAGGAATCTGGTTTTCTAACAGCTTCACACCAGGGAGGGTAATCGACTGGCTGCTTTCCACTAGAGGACAGTAAAGACCAATGAGCTTCAATATCAGCAGCCTGTTGAGGCCTCTAGTATGACACTTACTGTTCACAGCAGCCCACTCCAAACGGCTCGAAACACACACACTGGAAACATTCATCATTCATCCAGGCCTCCCCGATGTCGAAGACACGGCCGTTGTGTTCACAGCTGGCTGTGGGGAAATGGTGAGCATTACAACTTTGGAAGACATCATTTGACCTACTTTCACACTAGCTGTTTGGTATTAAAGTACACACGAAATCAACCTAGCCATCTTGACTTGGTTAGCTCACATTGCTAGTTTTGTGGTGAACAGTTCATCTGTACATGTCATTTGAAAAAAAAAAATGTTTGCCCATCTTTACTTTGAAATCTGACAATGCACTTCCCTTCTGACTGAGGTATCAGGTGGGCGTGGTTAACATACTTAACCAAGCACATTTCCCGATCTTTCTGAATGAACTAATGCCCGCTTTACTACATCCAATCAGCTCGCAGTAGAAAAAAAACAAGCCACGCCCACTGTTTTCTCATGTAAGGGTGTTTTCACACCTGCCTTATTTAGTTCAGTTGAAGCGCACTAGAGCAGGGGTGGCCAACCCTGTTCCTGGAGAGCCACGTTCCTGCAGATTTCAGTTGCAACCCATATCAAACACACCTGCCTGTAATTATCACGTGATGTTCAGGTCCTAATTAATTGGTTCAGGTGTGTTTGATATGGGTAGCAACTAAAATCTGCAGGAACGTGGCTCTCCAGGAACAGGGTTGGCCACCCCTGCACTAGAGTTTGTTTTCCCTCTCAGTGCGGTGCGTTTGGGCAGGTGTGAAAGTAGCAATTGCACTTAAGTAAGCACCAAAAGCAGACCAAAACAGCATACTGAGACTTCCTTGAAGACGTGGTCTTGGTACAATGTTAAACATACCCTGGAAATAATTGTTGACAGCGCTTTACCAACAGTTTTAAACAGAAAGGGAAAAGCTTTCCCCTACTGGATTGTTGGTAATATTTCTGGAAGATGACCATCAGTTTCGTTAAATTAATTCAAGGCTTCTCCTGAAGTGAGCTGCGATGCGCCTTTGCTGTTTGCAATGCATTAAAACATTGTTTTCCAGCTGCAGCTGTGCTTCATTCTCAAAATGTGTACTTTGTCTAAAGTGATGTATACAAACTACATAGTATATACTATGAGCAGGGATACAACCAGTCAGCGCAGTCGTCCCTCCATAGTAAAAAGCAACATTTTGTGTCTGCCGGTTTGTTTTCTTGCGGGAGCTCCATTGGCATTTTCTTGCATGTTAGTTCTGACCAATCCAAAAGTAGCCAAGTTTAGCAAATATGTTCAAAAACATCTGGCCAATGAGTGATGTGGATTTTGTCACATGTCTGCATTTTGGGGTTTTTTAACTGGTTTGGAATCAAAGCAATCAGTGTGGTGTGAAAAAGACCCCAAAATGGCAGAAAAACACTATAATCATGTATCTTCTGTTGCCCTTTTCTGGACCAAATGAACCTAACTACAGATGTGAAAGCACCCTAAAATTTCATTTTTTTTTCCATGCAGTAGAAACTGCGTCACAAAATGAAAAAACCCAACAACATTCAACTTTAATCATTGAAATCTACGCAAAATCTAAAATTATTGTGTTTATTTTTAGTCTTAAAAGAAAAAATTATCTTTTTTTATTTGTAATCTTTAATCAAAATCTGACCATTTGCTTGGCCGAATTTAATTATGCTTAGCCACACCCCTCCAACTATTACAGCAATACAGCAATTCAGTTAATGTGTTACCATCGAAGTTTGTATCCTACCCATGAGTGTTTATGTGCATTTTTAACATTTATGCGCATCTTTGCATTTACATGAAACGTTTTTTATGCAATGAAATTAGCTGGATGGAAACAGCTTATGGCACCTTTCGAAAGTAACTTAAAGCTTCAAATTAAGTTCAAATTAAGTTACATCTCTATGCCAGTAGGTGGCACATGAAACCATTAAAACATTTGTCAGCAATAATATCTGATACCAATATACGGATGATGAATCCACTTATGTGTTGTTATAAAGCTCAGACCTGTAGCCAGGGGGGGTTGGGAGGTTCAAAAGACTTACCCTTCACTGACAAAGGTCTAGAATTTGTCCCATAAATGAGCCCATTTGTCCTATTTTGACTGCTATACCATCATAAATTGTGAAAATAAGCCAAGCTAATCAGCTGATAAGTTTGTCCAATGCAAACAAATATTGTTCATCAGTCTAACATCCGCTGTTCAAGAAAACATCAAATCTGACGTAACTGGTCATCTGTGAAACACCAAAAGCAGCCCATATTACAAATAATTTAAATATCAATATAGCTATTTTTGTTATCCATGAATTTTCAAACGTATTTTTTATAAGAGATGCAAAAATCCTGAAGTTGTACATTATGTATTTATAGTATTATGTTTTAATCTTGTATTATTTAAATGGCCAAATTCTGTTGATATGCTGACCAGTTTGTTATTTACTTTATAAATGACAACAGGCTACAATTTATAATGTTAAGCTTTAACAGATTGCTATTTTTTTCTAATTTAATATGATGGAATAAATTTGTGTTTTTAAAATAAGTGTTTATCCATATTTCTTTATTCTAAATCTTTAGGAAATATTTTTGGTGAATCAAAAAGTGTGATTATGTTGTCCATCCGACAAGCTCATTCAGCTAAAAATAGTGCTTAAAATGCAGCATTTAAATCTCATAATAAAAATAAAATGGCGAATAACTGCAAAAGGTTCACTTTTTGAGAAAAAAGAACCACCCCCTTCAACAGGCTGGCTACCGTTCTAAAGCTTAATATCAGTTGTCAATCCATTTTTTTTTGTTTTTGTTTATGTTATTCACCTTTACTACACATTTATAATTGCAGTTAATTTATACACATTTAACAGCATTATTCAAAAAGTAACACATCCAATTATCAACGTCACAATCTCTGCTTTTGCATGTTTCTATGGAAATGCACATTGTTTGAATGTATTATGATTATTAATATTTAAACAAAACAAATTGTGTATAAACAAACATTACACAAGCATTATTTGAAATATATATTTAAGGCAATTGTTCCATCATTTTGACAGAAATTATTCAAAATTTGTTCAAAATGATGATTGATCCAGTTATAAGGCTCTATTATTGAATTATTCAAATGGTTTTAAATAAAATAAAAATTATGCAGTCGAGTTAATTAGGTATTTATTTACATAGACTGTGTAAATTAACTATTTGCATAATTTGTCTACAGAACCTCTAATACACTAAATGTTTCAGTTGTCTCCCAGCAGAAACTGGACGTCACATAGACGTAAAATTGACGTTTTCTTATTAAATTTTGGTTGTATATGAAAATGGAGTTTACGACAGAACCCCATCGTCAGTTTGAAATCAGACTTCTACATCAAGGTGAATTTTAGTTAATTCATAGCACAACATAAAATGAACCAAACATCAACGACTAATGATGTTAGCTTTTAACATTGTAAAGACTAGGCATGGGACAATAACCGTTTTCAAGGTATACCGCGGTTTGGAAAAGTCAAGGTTTTAAAACCGCCCAAATTTTCTGCTATACCGTTCCTAAGGTATGTATCTTCAGCAGAAAATATATCCAAAGATGCCGTCTTAAATTGTTAAGAAATGTGTGTTTTTACTTGTGTATTTTGCTTGTTTGCTGCTCCAACATATTCCAACATTATGTCATTAAAGTGACGTTGAAATTTAGTTAGGTAACTAATTACACAGCATAAAACCAACCAAAGATAAACGTCTACTGATATTAGACTCTAATGTTGTATGGATGTCAAGATGTCAAAACGATGTTGGATTTTAGTTAATTAATGCCACAGCCTAAGGCCAACCAAATATCAAAGCCACATGACGTTGGTATTAGGTGTCAGCTGACGTCGGTATTAGACAAATTGACGTTAAGTTTTGGTCATCCGACATCGCAACCAAAAAAGAACTAAAGATCAATGTCATATGATGTTGTGTGCTTGTACTTTGATGTTTATTATAGTTTACCTTTGGCATTGAAGTAGCATTCTCCACTGCCGGATACTCCATGACAGAGCTGGAAAATGCTAACCGTGCAAAACACAGCTAGGAAAACGCTCATGTCGCTTGCCTGCATGTCTAGAAGGGGGGAAAGTTGGAAGGTAAAGTTAGCAATTTCACATTTATTCACTGTTGTTTGAATTACAGGATTCAGTTGCTTGCAAAATGTGATAAAATCACTGAAATATTGCCCAGACACTGTAAGAAGTCTACAAAGAGTCATTTTTAGGAAACATTTGTCTTTATAGTTGGCTATATTTATTTGAACTGTCTAACTGAAAGTAGCATTTATTCTAGGGTTGCAATGATATGTTGTTTGAGCATAGATATTGCAATGTGTGTACCCGCAATAGTCACATCGCTGGATTAGATTGTTTATTAAAGATAAAAGGATAAAGACATCATAAAACATTACTTTTAAGATTATTTATACAATTAAGACTATGTTAGTTTACATTTGATTGCTCAATTTATGTATTTGAATACTGTTTGACCCCCTTGAAAACCAAAAAGCACAGTTTATTTCACTTTTATTTTTGCTCTGTCGTATTTTTGTGATTGTAACTTATTGGGTTTTATGCAGATGCACTGCATAGAAAAAGACTTCATCATCCCAGTCAATCTAAATTAACGAAATATTTCCAAATAGAGCTATTCAAATCATCTGGTAAATATTATATTCATATCACAATATACAGTTAAGTCAGAATTAAAGCCCCCTTTTTAAATGTTTTTTCTTTTTAAAAATATTTCCCAAATGATGTTTAACAAAGCAAGGTCATTTTCACAGTATGTCTGATAATATTTTTTCTTCTGGATAAAGTCTTATTCAATTTATTTCGGCTAGGATAAAAGCAGTTTTTAAACTTTAAAAAACATTTTAAGGTCAAAATTATTAGCCCTTTTAAGCTATGTTCTTTTTCGATAGTCTAAGGAACAAACCATCGTTATACGGTAACTCGCCTAATTACCCTAGCCTGCCTATTTAACCTAATTAACCCAGTTAAGCCTTTAAATGTCACTTTAAGCTGTATAGAAGTGTCTTGAAAAATATCAAGTCAAATATTATTTTCCTGTCATCATGGCAAAAGTAAAATAAATCAGTAATTAGAATTGAATTATTAAAACTATTATGTTTAGAAATGTTTTGAAAAAATCTGCTTTCCGTTAAACAGAAATTGGGGAAAAAATAAACAGGGGGGGCTAATAACTCTGACTTCAACCTTATCGCTGCAAACCAACATATCTCTCTTACTTATTCCCTGTATGACTGGTAGCCTATTTATATGTTTCATAGAATTATTAATCCCCATTAATGGTAAAAATATAAAACAGCAACAAAAGATTGTTTGAAATTCCTGTGAATTAATTGATTCTTGATTTTGAATGTTCATCTATCTTTCTGTAACACTTAGTGTCATAATTATGATTTTTTTATACCATAGAGATTTATAGTAGAAGCACTGATAAAAACCATAAAACCAGTCTCAGCCAAACAAAACAGTGTATAAGTAAAAAACATCGTGTTAATCAAAGACGGTGTTTCGTTAAGACAATTTGTAAATTTTCCACCATAAGTATATCAAAATCTAATTTCTGATTAGTAAAATGCATTGTTAAGAGATTTATTTGGTCAACTTGGAAAACAAAGGCAATTTTCACAATATTTATACATATTTTAATCCTTAGATTACTGATTTTTCAAATAGTTGTATTTCAGGGTTGTATTTAACAAATAATACATCAAACATAATAATAATATAAGAATAGAATAATATAGTAATAATATAAAAAAGTTGTATATGAATGTTTCAAATATTGTCCTATCTTAAAAAACACCAATAATATAAAGTTTATTCAGTTTATACAGATGGTCTATAAAACTCAATTTTAAACAAATGGACCCTCATTACTGGTTTTGTGGTCCAGAGTCACAAATAATGCTCTTCATATCATCTTTTGAAAATTGATTAGCAATTTACCATTATATTACTCCATACACTTTCCAATCAGACTCTTACCTTTTAAAATGTTCCCCTTTTCGGTTTCAGTCCTCTGTCTTCTTCTGCTGTTGTGTCTGGTGGATGTGTGTTCATGTGTTCTCCAGGATGTTCAGCATTTATATACCTGCATCTCTTTCCTCTGATTTTCACCTCTGCCCCCTCTGTCATTTCTGTTTATCCTCACTCTATTCTTTCTTTCTGTGCACACAGAATGTTTTACTGCTGATAAGATGAGCGAGCCTAACAGCTTCCATTTATTTCCATGTTAACATGCCAGTTCTTATTATAATATAATATTATTTCATAAGCAAAAATAAATAAATAAATGAAAATCAGTTGAAGGAAAAGTGATTTTCCCTCCTTTGAAATTGTAATTTTTTTCAATTATTTCCCAAGGGATGTTTAACAGCAAGGATATTTTCATATTTCCTATAATATTTCTTGTTTAATCATGTTTATTTGAGATTGGCTGGAATAAAATCAGCTTTACATAAAAAAATATATATAAAAAATTGAGGTCAGTATTATCAGACACTTCATTATTTTTTTCATATAGCTGCAGAACAAATCAGAAGACTTGCCTTATTAAGCTAACTTGCCTAATGGTAAACTAATTAACCAAGTGAAGCCTTTATATTGCACTTTAAGCTGAATAAAGGACTCAAAAAGGACATTTGCTGCCTGTTTAAACTACTTATTTAGAATGTGTAGAAACGACACAATTATTTTTATTTTTGGCGGGGAAGGGGGGCAAGACCACACGGGTTTCCTCCGGGTGCTCTAATTTTCCCCAGTCCAAAGACATGCAGTAAGGGTGACTTTGGGAAGCTAAATTGTCTGTAGTGTATGAGTGGAATAAGTGTGTGTGGATGGGCATTCACTGCTTAAAAAACGTGCTGGATAAGTTGGCGGTTCATTCTGCTGTGGCGACCTCGGATTAATAAAGGGACTAAGGCGAAAAGAAAATGAATGAATAAATATTATATTTTATTATATTTTTTAATATATTTTATTATATTATATTATATTATATTATATTATATTATATTATATTATATTATATTATATTATATTATATTATATTATATTATATTATATTATATTATATTATATTATATTTAGTGGTGGGCCGTTATCAATGTTAACGTTCTGTGTTAACATGAGACTCTTATCAGGCGATAAAAAAAAAATGTTGCCATTAATCTATTCTCAAAGTTGGGTTGGGAGCTGGGTCTGTTCTACGCAAGCGATGATGACTTTCACCTTGATATTTTGGTGCGGATGTATACCTGACCGAATTGCACTATTGGTGGCAAGAACAAGCCTTCGAACCTGTGTGTATTCCTAATGTGAAATTACCACATCAAACGTGACATGCAAACATGGATGCAGTCATGATAGTGAATCTGATTAATGTTAGCTCCACATCTAACTATCAGGCACCTGTAGAGTTTGTGCGTTCGAGTAAAACATATACAAATAAAATGGACCGGGTGCTTTTTAAAATCAATGACGGTGAATGAAAGTCAAACCAGTGAGCCGTCTGACAAGAAAAAGTTCCCTTCTGCATGAAATCAGCAGGATGCCCTTCTGGATCTTTCACTTACTTCAAGGACACTACTGACTACGCTTACATGGACATCTGTACTCTAGTTATTTGCCTAATAGACAATTATATAATTAAGGTGTTTGTGTGAAGTGCTTTCATGTAAGAGTTCCTTGTAATTTTGGGTAGCTTTAATTGCAGTTAGGCAGTTTCATTATCACTCATGAACATTTAAATTCTTCCCTTGTGACTAATTGGGTATTAGAAACAAATAAGGAGTAAGGACTAGTGAGAGTAAGGAATTTAATAACGCACACTGAATGGGTAGAAAAAAATTTAGCATTACGCATTGTACATGTGTGTGGGGCAAAAGGCAATTAATAATTTGATCACGGTGTTTACTTCTATAATGCCACTAATATATGCATACTCGACATGTCTTAATTCTATTTCTGTTTAGTTCAGTTATGACTTTAGTCGGATTAAGGAAATCAAAAATCACTGTTTCAAGCTTATGTAGGCCTACAGTTCAAAATTCATGTTTAACTGAATAAACAGTAAACACAAGTACATCTTATTGAACATCATTTATTGTCATCACCAATTATCATAGAAGAACAGTTTCTCAAGCAGTTTGTGATGCATTTTGAAAACAGGAGATAAGCCCCTGGTCTAATGCGCCACCTGGCTTGTGAAACCTGCTCTCAAAGACTTATTATTTGGGTAGCACACATATTCTGGTCACACTTTACAATAAGGTTCATTAGTTAATGTTACTCAATGCATTTACTAACATGAACAAACAATGAACAATACATTTACTACAGTATTTGTTCATGTTAGTAAACGTTAGTTAATGAAAATACAGTAGTTCATTGTTAGTTCATGTTAACTCACCGAGCACTAACTAATGTTAAAAAGCATGAGTTTGGATGTTAAAAATGCATTAGTAAATGTTCAATTATGATTACAGTTTTTTACAATTGCTATGACACTTTTATCAATACATTTAACAAGTTTTCTAAACTCTTAACACAGTTAGCACAACATCCGTCTTCGTGGGCTATACAATTAACACATTTCTTGTTGTTTTGACACAAAATGCATCCAGTTAACACAAATTTAAAATGCTTTAACTTCTTTTACACACAAGCACAACCAAAAACAAAACAATGTAATTTTACTGTCAAATTTACAAATGCTTTAACACAGTATGTCAGAACAGATAACACCATGTTCTAAACAGAAATTATATAGGATAAAGTCACAGTGAACAGCTGTTCTAATTGTGAATTGAAACACAAATATATTCCCTGTATTTTATCCAATTGCCAATGAGAAACATCATATTGTGGTTATATAAATAAATAAATAAATAAGTGTGTGTGTGTGTGTGTGTGTGTGTGTGTATATATATATATATATATATATGACAGCTGATTCCCATCTAGAAAGCACACTCATGTCTTGTTTTGGTTTTTCCAATCACATGATCATATGTTCTAATAGACGACTCTTGAGGTTTTTGAAAGGAACATCAAAGAACTCTGTCACCAATTATGCAATACAGTCATCACTGTACTATACAAAGTGTTTTGCAGTAAACTACTCTTTAAACCTGGAGTTCATTAGTACATACAGTACATATACAGTACAGCATTTGCATACACTGTGTCTAATTACTTTCAGAGAGTCATGAAGTTAGAGGCCAATCAAGTACCACATGAAATTTTCAATGTTGACAAGGCTGGGGATGTCGCCGTAGGAAAAACATAATAGGCCAAAGGGCCACAGTTACCGTGCCGGGCCAAAGAAGATATCAAGTATAATGTTAATGAGAACATGTGGCAAAAGACCGGGCAGAATAGAAGATCACTTTGTTATTTTATTATAATTGTGGTGCTTTTTCTGTTTGCAGTGATGTCCTTCTGCAAAAAAGTCTGTACTGCAGAAATTCTGTGTCTGTATTTTTATTTTTTTTTTACATAAACTGTAAATTTTTATAAAGCAATTTTTTTCTTCGTTTTGTATAGAATTTTTGCCGTAAACGAAAGAAAATGCATGCATTTACTTAACCCAACGAAACAAAACTGTAACGAGACTTCAAATATAAGAGCAGAGCTGAAACATAAACTAATGCAGTTTCTGTAATGTCAGCTGATGATAGTGTTTTTATTGTCAGTGTGTTCTGATTGACTGAATGTTTATGTTTGAAGAGAACATGTGTTTGTGTTTTGAACAATAATTTTATTTTGAAACATGATTGCAGTGTTTTGTTAGACATGGTGTAGTGTGTTTGTTTATTATTGTATTTTGAAAATTAGTTTAGAGGTTTAGTTTATAATGTTTGATTTTGAGCGTAAAATTAACCGTTTTGCCAATTGTGTGTTTTAGGTGTGTTGCTGCGTAAAGAGTTTAGCAAACTTGTTAAATGTATTGAAAAAAGTGTCATAGCCATTGTAAAAAACTGTAATAAATGCTGTACAAGTGTTGTTCATGATTAGTTCATGTTCGTAAATGCATTAACTAATGAACCATATTGTAAAGTGTTATCCATATTCTTAATGCCTTCGGCAGAATTTAAATGGACCATTTTAACTATTAATTAATCTAGATTAATTCTAAGATTACAGAGAGATTAATCTTGACTTAAAAAAATAATTTATGCCCACCTATAATTAAATTATATTATATTATATTATATTATATTATATTATATTATATTATATTATATTATATTATATTATATTATATTATATTATATTATATTATATTATATTATATTATATTATATTATTCATTTTCTTTTCAGCTTAGTCCCTTAATTTATCTGGGGTTGCCACAGCGGAATGAACCGCCAACTTTTTTTGTTTCACATTTTACGCAGTGGATGGCCTTCCAGCCACAACCCAACATTGGGAAACACTCTTGCACACACTCACATGCATTTTTGCCAATTTAGCTTATTCAGTTCACCTTTACAGCATGTTTTTGGACTGGAGCACCTGGAGGAAACAAACATGGGGAGAACATACAAACTCCACACAGAAATGCCAGCTGACCCAGCCGGGGCTCGAACCAGCAACCGTCTTGCTGTGAGGCGATTGTGCTACCTACTGTGCCACCATGCTTCCCTATATTATATTATATTATATTATATTATATTATATTATATTATATTATATTATATTATATTATATTATATTATATTATATTATAATATTATATTATATTATATTATATTATATTATTAAATTATATGATTATATTATATTATATTGTATTATATTATATTAAATTTTATTATATTATATTATATTATTATATTATATGATTATATTATATTATATTATATTATATTATATTATATTATATTATATTATATGATTATATTATATTATTATATTGTATTATATTATATTATATGATTATATTCTATTATTATATTGTATTATATTATATTATATTATATTATATTTTATTATATTTTATTATTATATTTTATTATATTATATTATATTATATTATTAAATTATATTAT